AGTATGTAATACAGTAAGGACAATGTCTTCACTTAAAATTCTAAAATATTTAGTTATATAAGCCACAAATGATTAAATAAAAATGCTAGGAGTAGTCACTCATCATAACACAGAAGTAACTAATTTTTTTTTTCAGACAGGCACCACACAAAATTTTACCTGATTGAGTATTTTTCTGTAATTTAAGACAGCCATAGATCTATTTTGTCTACTAATGCCAAAATACTAAGGCACGTGACATTTTTACTCACTCAGGTGTGTCTTTAACACACTAAGGAATTAAACAATGTTCTAAAAAAAAAGACAGGATAAACCAATATGAAGAGGATAAGAGACATTTTGGAGAAATCAGATATTTCACTATCCAAAGCAATTTTTAAGAAAAGGATAAGATGAGGTAATGCATTTTGATTTTCAGAAAAAGAGGTCATGATGTAATAAAGATTGTCATTCTGTATCAGATCTCTTTATTTACATTTTGAAAGAAGGTGTGGAACAAAACATAAGTTTCCAAAGGACTACCTATTTGTCACTAAAAGACACAATACGTGAGGGAGCCGACAAGAATGTTACTGTGTCAATGTTGATCACCCTCCCCACACGCAGGAAACATATATGTATTTGGAACCAGTATCAAACACCGCTGTCTAATTTAAAAATACTCCTGGACTTCCTACTGATCAATATCTCTTATAGAAAGGATAAGAGTATAGAGCATCTGAACTGAAACAGTATTATTAGAAAATGATATCGTGAGCATTTAGGATGTATAATTCATGTTGCTTTCATTTGCTCAGACCACTGTAAAAATCCATAAATCATTTTCTTGTTCATGTATTGCTTAAGTGCAATTTGTCATTTTGCATTAAAGGGCTGCTTCAGCTCATCAGTGCTTTTAATTCTCTGTAGAGTTTAACAAAACGCTGGCCCTGTCTGATAACCGAAAAGACACTGAAATGTGAAGCCACACCAATATTAACAAGGTTAAACAAAATGGAGAAGAACGGTTCTACTTCAAATATCAAGTAACACTTAAGAGCTGGTATTCTCAGCCCGCGAAACCGGGTTGGTTTGTTCTGTTGGGTCCAAAGGATTAGAACACAGTAACAAAAGAGTTACCTGAATGCTTACAATAGCATGTATATGCTATAAATCTTTTCCAGAAACTCTAGTCAACACTCACTCTACTGTAGATGAACAAGAACGACCAGTGTGGCATTGGCTCCGAAGCCTTGCCTTCCCACCTCTTAAGTTAGGTTACATTACTACAAATAAACTGATTTCATGGTTACCCATTCGAGATGCTATACACTCCAGGTACTTTGCATTTCCTCTCTGCACTGTGCTCGCTGGGAATGACAAGTGTCAGGAACCACTCAGCTCAACCCTGGCAAGGGGCCTGGCATTTGAAAGACTCCTTATTGACAATTTAAATATTTTTTCTTCCATTTCTTAAAAAAAAATTTTTTTTCTCTCAAAGCCCTGGGCACACTGCAATAATAAGAGGATTTAGAAACAAATTGCTTTCAAGTCAAATTAAATCACTGCAAACACTCATTCATCCAAACGCTGGTTAACAAACTTGTTTCCCTCCCGCCTTTTACAGAAAAGGGTAGGGAAGAAAGCAGCCCGGTTAGCTGCTTTCAAAGTTTGTAACTATGTACATAAAACGCGACGGTGAGATCCTTAGCGCCCCCCTCCCCATTCGGCTGCCCTTAGAGGACAATGAAGTAGACGAGGGTGCATAATCACTCACACACCTATCAGGATTTTTTATGAAAATTGATTTTGATAAACCCCCTCCAAATAATAATAGCTACTTTCCCCATCTGCTTTAGGATACGATTTGTCTGGGCCCAGATGGTTGGCGCTCCTGGAGGGGGCGTGGGGTTTGGGGGAGGGTTACATTAGGAATTGGTTCTCCCGGCCGGTTTCAATAATTGGGGGGGAGGGGTCGAAGGACGCTGCATTGAACTGTATTCTGCACTTCAAAGAGGTCGTCCAGCCCCCCGCCCCACCCCCCCCGCCGAAGCTGTTATCTATGTAATCACGGCCTCACTACATTCTGGGGTCCGCCGAGTGAAAAAGAAGGAGGGGGGGGAATCTGCTGGATTGACACAGCAAGGAAAAAAGTACACGGGTTTCATTTCAAAAGCATTTTTAAAAGGCAGATTTAAAGTGTGGTTTTGTTTCGTGGGTGACGGGGCGAGGGGGGTCTGTTTAAGGTTCCAGAGTAAGGAGGCAAGTAAGTCAGTAAGGGTGCTGATGCCAACGTTTGAATCTTGGCCCGGGACAAAATACTCTTACAATCGCCCTTGGCCGGAGCTACCCAGACGGAGGCGGACGGCCAGGCTCGCGTCTGCTCTCCCAGGCGGAAGACTCCGTCGTCACCCCGCCGATACCACGGCGCCTCGGAGACTAGAAGTCAGAGGCGAGACCTCTACAGGACCCCGGCCGGCGTCGCCGGCGTGAATGCAGGCCTCTGCGACCCAAGAAATCCTAAAGAGCCCCCAACAGGCCAGCCCTGTCGAATGAGAGCTCCAAAGCGAAATTCTCCGGCATGCCCTGTGTTGCTTTCGCCGCTAGGAGACGCCTGTAACCCACGTTTGCGGCGAGAGTTCCCCTTTCAAACACAACTGCTACCAAAAAGAAAAAAAAAAAAAAAAAATGCAGCTCAAGCGTTAACAGTGGATGTAGTGATTATTTACAGGCAAATCTGGCCATCTTCTCATCTCCACCTCGGGAAGCACTCTGGCTCTCAGCGAACGTCCAAAGTCGGTTCAAATTTCATCTACATCTTGAGAGCACAAACCGTCTCCCGCAAACAATTTCCGGATCTGCATTGTCATTCAGCCGCATGTCTCTCACACGCAAACACGCGCGCACACGGGCACACACACAAGTGTTTCCGTATGTACAAATGAAATATTAGAAAATTACCGTCATTTAAAAAATGCTCCAGGATTCTGATGAGTCAGCTTGAAGACCTCAAAACGTGTCATTTCAATCCTTCAGATCTAAAGAAAAAACAGGGAGGGGGAGGGGTAGAAAGTACAGATGCAATGCCGTTATTAATATTCAGATACACTATAATCTCCTTTTCATTGATCCACAGGTCCTTTTATAAACTGACGCTCCATTCGCAGCCGCAGACGTGATGTTAAAATCATTTCAACTGCAGCGGTTTTCGCTTGGCTTTGGCCAATCGTCAATTTACTGCAGCTGGAAAAGGATTAGCCATTTTTGCTGGCATCCTTTCCTTCTAACCGCTCAAATGCAGGACCCATCTCCATGAAAGAGCCAAGGGGGGCGGGGGGCTAGGGCAGCAGACACGCACTCGCAGGGGCATGCCTCAGTCTATAATCACGCCCATGGCCACTCGCCCTCCTTAATTCCCCGCCAGGAGGGAATGGCAACGTACCTCGGGGTCGGGGAAACGACTCTCCTTTTCCCGCAGGTTGTGGCGGTGTTGCTCTCAGGTCATTCATTACCAGGAAGCCCCAAGGGACCTTCCCATCCTGTGGCATAAGAAGGAAACTGAACAAGGGCGGCTTGCGTTTGAATAAACAACCCCTTACAGCCCACTAATTAATACACAATTATGTTTTCTGGGTTTTTTTTTTAATCTTTTCTTGGAGAATTAACATTCAATCCACTCTCTCGCATTGAAGAGTTCGCGCTCTATTTCAACTTCACAGGAACTGGGTGCGTTTACGCGCCGCTTTGCCCCCGCGCCTCAGGAGTGAGCCCTCGGAGCTCGTCAAGCGCATCCTTCGCGACCCGGGAGGAGGGGTGGAGGGGGCTCCGTTGGGGCTTACACAGAGCTGTGCGTTGGACCAGGAAGGATGGATGCGAGCACCGTGAATGTGCAAGCACGTTCGCAGATACCCGCAGCGGCACACACTCTGGCCCCGCGTGTGCAGCGACCCAGCCCATGCACCCACCCCCGCCTCCGCCCGCGTCCGCGTTCGCCGCCGCCCAGCTGCCCTCATCCAGCGGTCTTGCCCCAAGCTGGGCAAGAATCGGTGCTCCGGTCTAGCAGAGGGCGGAGCGGGGAGCTCTCCAATTGTCAGAATAAGCAGAAAAAAGCCTGTGCGCGCCGCCGTGGCGTCGCACTTGGCCGGGGGGACGCGCAGGGATATCCGCGGCGCCTTGCAGCGAACAAGCCAGAGGCCCGCGAGGCCGGCGTTAGGCGGGCGGGCTCCAAAGCGGAGCTCAGATGAAACTCCTCAGTCACTGACCGAAGGGTTCACAGCTCAACCCGGGTCCCCAAGCGCATTAATCTATTTGGTAAGAATATTGTGGATGTACGTTTAGGAAGGGAAGAGGTAAGTCTAACGCGGCCGCACGTCTATAGGAGCCGCCAGCCCTCAACCCTGGGCTTGAATCCCGCGGCTTTTCAGGACCCACCTAAGCTTCAACCCTTCCTACACGGCCCCTTCAGACCCTCACACTTAGTTTAACACAGTCCTTATCGTATCTGTTTTTTAAAAGTCCTGCCAATCTCCACCAGAGTCCCTTAATTAGGTAACCCCTGCCAATTAGTGGCCCCTCTGCAACTTTTTCCTGTTCTCGGTGACTTATTTCCACGAACAGTAGCAAGGAAAATACCTTAAAGGAAAAAGAATGCTAGCGTCATTGGAAACCCCGCTCCTGGGAGAGGATACCGCTGCTGCTATTATGTTTTCGCATTTGCTGATGCAAACAGGGGAACCTCTCTATTCCCTCGCCATTACCTGCGGCCGGGGACTGGGAACTTTCCGTGGCAGAGTCCCAGCTAGCGCCTCGGGACCTGCCGGGCTGTGGTCGCGCTCACACTCACACTCACCCCGGCAGCCCGGCCCGGTTGCTTGCGTGACGCGCCTGCTTGACGGTCAGGTTGGCCAATTAGCGGTGGCTCGGTGGGTGGTGCTCCTCAGTGATTGGTTGGCAGAATGAGGGCGCTGCGCAAAAACAGAGAAGCGGAGCGCTCGGAGCTCAGAAACTGCCAGCCGAGATCGCAGGCTCTGGGGCTGAGGCAGGAGGAGGGAAGGACTGGAAAGAAGAGAGATAGGTTAGAGGGAAGAAGAGGCTTGGGAAGGAAACAGCAAGAAAGAAACTGCTCTTCACACTTCCAGAGAGGCAAACGACGGTGGAGATGAGGACAGAGAGTAAGACTATGAAAGCCAAAAACTACAAATAGAGTGAAAGAGGAAAAAATGCCAAAAAGCACATCCATCCGGAGAAATGAAGAGAATGAAAGTTTTATGCTGCAGAACCGTTCTATGCTTTTTCGGCACAAAATTCTCTCGCCGTTTTTAAGCTCTTCTGCATTTGCCAGCCGTTGACGTTAAGAGGCATGTTCAGCGGTGCCAACAGCATCTCCTCTTCCTCTTCCTCTTCCACCTCATTCTTCTCCTCCCATCAGCAAGAAGACAAACCGAGGACAGTCTTGAAATATCAAAATTTCCCCCTTGGGTTTTGCCAGCACCGCGTTGCGCCAAGACTGTCGGAATAAAGGACGCTGACTATTGTTATTATTTTATTAATTGGTCAGTGGGAAGATTACAGATGAGGAAAGGGGACGCCTGTCACCCTTCCTGCGCTAAGATTGAAAAATTAGGCTGAACTGGGGGAAACCCTAAAATGAGGCAAAAGGAATTCGATTTTTAAGGACAGAAAGCCACAAGACAGCCCCCCCACCCCACACACACACAGAGCGCACTTTTATTTGAGATTTTTTTTTTTTTTTTCGTGGTGGCTGGGGAGGCGATTGGGTGGCTGGCTGGCTGCGGGAAGCTGCTTCCTTTCCCTTTGGAGATGATTGTGCTATTATTCTTCGCCTTGCTCTGGATGGTGGAAGGAGTCTTTTCCCAGCTTCACTACACGGTCCAGGAGGAGCAGGAACATGGCACTTTCGTGGGGAATATCGCTGAAGATCTGGGCTTGGACATTACAAAACTTTCGGCTCGCGGGTTTCAAACGGCGCCCAACTCTCGGACCCCTTACTTGGACCTCAACCTGGAGACCGGGGTGCTGTACGTGAACGAGAAGATTGACCGCGAGCAAATCTGCAAGCAGAGCCCCTCCTGCGTCCTGCACCTGGAGGTCTTCCTGGAAAACCCCCTGGAGCTGTTCCGGGTGGAGATCGAGGTGTTGGACATCAATGACAACCCCCCCTCCTTCCCGGAGCCGGACCTGACCGTGGAGATCTCTGAGAGCGCCACGCCGGGCACCCGCTTCCCCTTGGAGAGCGCATTCGACCCAGACGTGGGCACCAATTCCTTGCGCGACTACGAGATCACCCCCAACAGCTACTTCTCCCTGGACGTGCAGACCCAGGGGGATGGCAACCGATTCGCCGAGCTGGTGCTGGAGAAGCCGCTGGACCGAGAGCAGCAAGCGGTGCACCGCTACGTGCTGACCGCGGTGGACGGGGGAGGAGGGGCCGGAGGAGGCGGAGCGGGAGGGGGCCTGCTCCCCCAACAGCAGCGCACCGGCACGGCCCTACTCACCATCCGAGTGCTGGACTCCAACGACAATGTGCCCGCCTTCGACCAACCCGTCTACACTGTGTCCCTCCCAGAGAACTCGCCGCCGGGCACGCTCGTGATCCAGCTTAACGCCACGGACCCAGATGAGGGCCAGAATGGCGAGGTCGTGTATTCCTTCAGCAGCCACATTTCGCCCCGGGCGCGGGAGCTCTTCGGACTCTCTCCTCGCACTGGCCGACTGGAGGTGAGCGGCGAGCTGGACTACGAAGAGAGCCCGGTGTACCAAGTGTACGTACAAGCCAAGGACCTGGGCCCCAACGCCGTGCCCGCGCACTGCAAGGTGATCGTGAGAGTGCTGGATGCTAACGACAACGCGCCGGAGATCAGCTTCAGCACCGTGAAGGAGGCGGTGAGCGAGGGCGCGGCGCCCGGCACGGTGGTGGCCTTGTTCAGCGTGACCGACCGCGACTCAGAGGAGAATGGGCAGGTGCAGTGCGAGCTGCTGGGGGATGTGCCGTTCCGCCTCAAGTCTTCCTTCAAAAACTACTATACCATCGTGACCGAGGCCCCTCTGGACCGAGAGGCGGGGGACTCCTACACCCTGACCGTGGTGGCTCGGGACCAGGGCGAGCCTGCGCTCTCCACCAGCAAGTCGATCCAGGTGCAGGTGTCCGATGTGAACGACAACGCACCGCGATTCAGCCAGCCGGTCTACGACGTGTATGTGACCGAAAACAATGTGCCGGGCGCCTACATCTACGCGGTGAGCGCCACAGACCGTGACGAGGGCGCCAACGCCCAGCTAGCCTACTCTATCCTCGAGTGCCAGATCCAGGGCATGAGCGTCTTCACTTACGTATCCATCAACTCCGAGAACGGCTACTTGTACGCCCTGCGCTCCTTCGACCACGAGCAGCTCAAGGACTTCAGCTTCCAGGTGGAAGCCCGGGACGCCGGCAGCCCCCAGGCGCTGGCTGGCAACGCCACTGTCAACATCCTCATCGTGGATCAGAACGACAACGCCCCTGCCATAGTGGCGCCCCTTCCGGGGCGCAACGGGACTCCGGCGCGCGAGGTGCTGCCCCGCTCGGCGGAGCCCGGTTACCTGCTGACCCGCGTAGCCGCGGTGGACGCGGACGACGGCGAGAACGCCCGGCTCACCTACAGCATTGTGCGGGGTAACGAAATGAACCTCTTCCGCATGGATTGGCGCACCGGGGAGCTCCGCACGGCGCGCCGGGTGCCGGCCAAGCGCGACCCCCAGCGGCCTTACGAGCTGGTGATCGAGGTGCGCGACCACGGGCAACCTCCCCTGTCCTCCACCGCCACCCTGGTGGTGCAGCTGGTGGATGGCGCTGTCGAGCCCCAGGGCGGGGGCGGGGGCGGGGGCGGGGGGTCAGGGGAGCACCAGCGCCCCAGCCGCTCCGGCGGCGGGGAGACCTCGCTGGACCTCACCCTCATCCTCATCATCGCGCTGGGCTCGGTGTCCTTCATCTTCCTGCTGGCCATGATCGTGCTTGCCGTGCGTTGCCAAAAAGAGAAGAAGCTCAACATCTACACGTGTCTGGCCAGCGACTGCTGCCTCTGCTGCTGCTGCTGCAGCGGTGGCGGTTCGACCTGCTGCGGCCGCCAAGCCCGGGCGCGCAAGAAGAAACTCAGCAAGTCGGACATCATGCTGGTGCAAAGCTCCAACGTACCCAGTAACCCGGCCCAAGTGCCGGTGGAGGAGTCCGGGGGCTTTGGCTCCCATCACCACAACCAGAATTACTGCTACCAGGTCTGCCTGACCCCCGAGTCCGCCAAGACCGACCTGATGTTCCTTAAACCCTGCAGCCCTTCGCGGAGTACGGACACTGAGCACAACCCTTGCGGGGCCATCGTCACCGGCTACACAGACCAGCAGCCCGACATCATCTCCAACGGAAGCATTTTGTCCAACGAGGTAAGGCTGAAGCGCCAGGACCACCATCTCTCATCTCCTCCATCCGAAAGCCTCCTCTAGCCCGGCCCTTGTATCTCTGGTGCACTGTGTATTTATTTTTAGGATATTAGCTCACTTGTATCTTTGTGGAGGCAGGAATGGGGAGTCACCTCTCCCACACTTTCGTGTATAACTTAAACTTCGTGTTGTCCCTAATTTTCTGCGCTCCACCCCTCCACGTTTATTTTCATTCCCCTCCTTTGGTGCTTTGCCACCTTGGACCTTCCCTCTTCCCTCTGGCATCTTTCCTTTAAAATCCCAACCCCCCTCTCAGTCTTTTCCCTTCTTAGAAATCTGGGGGTAAAGGGGAAAGTGCGCTGTGGGGAGAGGGAAATGCGGTGGAGGGACCTTCTGGCGCTGGCAAAGGTGTTTTTTTTTCTCTTTGCATTTGTCCCAGGCGTTAATAAAGTTCATTGTTTTGCTTTGTTTATCGATGCTTTCAGTCGCGTGTAAAAGTAAGCTATAGATTGTTTAACTTTGCACAGTTGTCTAAACTTGAATGCATGTTTTAGTGAATGAGTTATCAGATCCTTGTCGTTTGAACTCGGGTTGCAAAGAAAGCCTTCAGTTCTGCTCTGGACAGCATTTACAGACGCTCTTGAAGCCGAACGCCCACACAGTGTGAATTTGAATGAAGTTGCTTTGGCACAAACCCCTGTAAGCGTAAACTAACGGAAGGCTTAAACAATTGTTGTCTTGAGTATATCTTTTAGCTAATAATTACCTTCTTGCCACCGTTTTGGATAACTCACTGCTGTTGGCTTTCTTCATCCAAGAATTTGGCTTGTCAATTCCGATTTCTTTTTATAAGATGGAGAAGTAGCGAAGTTGAAAGGAGGGAGGGAGGGGGGGAGAACGGAGTTGATTTCTGTAAAAGAAAGTTTGGACCGGAAAAGGCGTGTGGGTGCTGGAGGCGGGGAGGAGAAGGCAAGGGGTGTTTGGAGGGGAAAAAGAATTGGGGCCAGGAGGGAAGGGAGGATTATGAACTCCTTTCTTGGCAGGTTATTTCATTTATTTTGAGTCTTAGATATTATTCATTGACTTTCATGAATATTTGTACAGCTCATTTGTATCTTAAGCACATTTTGAAAATAAACAACAAAATAATTCCATAAAATATCCAAACTTTTTCTTATTGAGCGTGCTGTTTTTCTTGTGTCAACCAGTATATGCACCTAAACACTGTTTTTAGGCCACTGAAACAGAAAGACTGCAGCATATATAACTAGGTTGACCCTATTGGAGACAATAGTTTATGAGCCCCAGCTATGAGGTCATTTGCATTCTCTCCTTAACACACACACACACACACACACACACACACACACACACACACACACTTAAAATTGGCCTTTTATCTCTGCATTTTTTTTTTAACCTTTACTGAAAATCTAGATTGAAGTGTCTCTGCATATCTTCTTGCCTTTACCCAGCAATCACTAGTCTGAGGTTTTAGGACAGCTTAGAAATTCATAAAAATGTACACAATTACTTAAGCTAGAATTAGTTCCTAACTTCAAAAGCAGACTTGTTAGTTAAACCCTTAGCATTCAAATGCTCTTGATTTATTTATTTTTTTTCTAGACTAAACACCAGCGAGCAGAGCTCAGCTATCTAGTTGACAGACCTCGCCGAGTTAACAGGTATGGACTCCTTTTTTTTTTTCCTACCTTGGTGTATGGACAAATTACTACCTACTAAAAGTAGGAATTAGGTATATTATTCAATATCAAAATAGAAAATGATAAAGTATTTCCAATTAGGGCAGGACATAAATACTGATTACGTTAGGTTTCCTAGACAATAAACTTTAAAAATATTGGTGTGTTTCATTTACATATAACCACTAAGTATACTTGACTATTTTGTCAGTTTACACTCCTACACTGCTTCTAATAATCTTCCTAGCTGTTCCAGATATATACATATATATATCTTCTATGAAAATGATATAAACATATGCTTAGTTCCAATCACAGAATAATGGCTAAACTTTACATGCCTTAACAGCTCCAACTAACTGCTAATGTTTAATTTTAGAGAGTTAGGCTTAAGGTTATGAAAACTAGCTTTAAGCAGAAATAAAGCCACCTGAGAGCTCTAGGCATCTGCAGCACCATCAGTGACCATGTGGTGGCAGAAGAATGTTTTCTGTGTTTCTTCACCTTTTTTATTCTAATATTCACATTTTTGTACTTCTAGTTCTGCATTCCAGGAAGCCGACATAGTAAGCTCTAAGGACAGTGGCCATGGAGACAGCGAACAGGGAGATAGTGATCACGATGCCACCAACCGCGGCCAGTCAGCTGGTAAGTGTGATCAAAGGGCAATGCTGACTTTTATAGTCTTTTTAAAAAATCAATCCTGAAAGGATGATGTTCTAGGTAATTTTTAGTGTTAGTAAATCTACAGAAGAATGGTGCCATCCTATGTCGACAATTGTATACTCGAAGAGGATTGTAATATTTACTGTTCCTTCAGAGAACGAAAGCTAGAAATTCATTGTGGAATATGTTAGACTATGAAACGTTTCTTTTTTATGTAATGTTCTTTCCTGGAATTATACTGCATACAAAAGCCAGAGATTTCTCGCGTGGTCCAGTCCTCAGTCTTCAGTCAATTACGATATTATTAGACTTGCTTACGGATGAGGTAACTGAAGATGAATGAAATTGGTTGACCTGCACAAGGTCACAAGAGGATGAGTGGATGATTGGGGACCAGAATCCAAATTTCTCCATTTCCAGAGCAATGCATTTTACATGTCAACGAATATTGAATGAGAGAAGGAATGGTGATTAAAATCATGAATAGGTTGAAAGCAGGATTTCCAATCCCGGGTTCTTAGGCTTCAGGACACTAGTTAACATTTGATAATGTGTATTTTCTGAAGCATCTCCTAGGTTCCCTCATATTTTCATTGGATCCATGTTCAAAAGTTGAACTCTAGGTATATTTGTATGCGGGCTTAATGGTATTCACTGATGGAGGTTGCAATGTGATACGTATTTTTTACTTTGTTTTACTTTATCTTCCTTTACTTTTTCTATATAAATTTACCCTTTAAGTTTTATAGGATCCTGATAACTCTAACTACTAATAATTAAAGAAAACACTTAAAAGAAATAAAATATGTACCTTAAAATGATGAAAACAATTTCACAAGGTTTGGGTTTTCTTTCCACTTAATTTGCATTTCAACTATGAAGGGTGCTTGTTGATTTTTTTTTTTTTTTGCTTTTGCTTTTTCAGTTGAGTTTTGTGTTTATCTGACACATAAAGAAAGGCAAAGGCAAGCTAACTTTTATAACTTCTAAGATGCCCATCACTGGACTGTCTCAAGGTCCAACTTCATTCACTTGAGCTTTGAGCTTTATTTTGGTTAGTGATTAAGTGTAGGGTGATAGGGTTCTCATTTTCAAGGTACCATTGATCCTCGAGAGCACCCATTCCTTAACACGCTCCCTGGGCCTCTGAACGGTGCTGACGCAGTGTGCCAAAGGGCAGTATCAGCCCCACGGTCGCCTGGCAGCAGTGGTGGCTGCAAGCCTCTCACTTGGCTTATGTGTGCCGTGTCTGAGGCTGCCTTAGCCTTGGGAAACGCAGGCAGGAGGAGGGGAAAAAAAGACTGCTCAAGGGTCTCTTTATATTGCTGCAAGTCATTAATATGCAGACCTAATGAGACTTGAGAACTGCCAAGAATTCCCGGAGGTCCCTGCCCCTTGCGGGCCTTCACGCTAAGTGAACAGAGCATCTATTTAGTGTCTGGGAACCTGACAACAAACCAGATCTTGCCAGAAGTTTATATTTGAGTACAAAGTCCCTTTCATTTTTGGCCTATATATGACATATGATTTATTGTTATCTTTTAAAAGGTATATGTTTAGAATTGCTCATTCCTATTCCTTTTTCAGAGTTTCTAATTTAATAGTCTGCCTTTTAAAACTTTGGAAACAAAATGCTTAATATTAAAAACAAAAAAAAAGAGTATCCACTGCTGCATGGTTCCTTGGGTGCACTTTATTCCTTTCCCACTCCCCCCTACTTTGTTTTTTTAGTTTTTTGGGTTTTTTTCTGTAGCACTCCAACCTCAATGAACATTTCAATTAGTTTAGTCCTCTCAGACATAATGAGCCATGATAACTTAACCGAAAAAAGAGAAATGAATAAACATCTGCAAAAAGTGTTAAATTTGGAACATGGATGGGAATACATTCTTATCAGTGCGCCTTCCCACTAGCTCTTTCATTTCACAGGCGCTCAATGTTGCCATTTCGGTAATGTTTCTTTTAAATTATTTGAGATGTCAAAACATTAAAAGGAAATTTTAAATGCTAAATTGTGTAAGGAAAACATATTTAAAAGCAGGCAGTTTTTCTTATCAAAATGGCAAATTCTTTTTTCTATCTTTAAGTTCTTAAACATGTAAAAGTATTACAGAATTAACAATCTACTTCATTAGCAGTTATAGAGCTGCCACCACATACTGGGCACAATGATAGCTGTTTTAAATTGTAATAACACACTCGTATTAAGAAGTAATTATACCTTCGTGTGCTGAATTTAAGTCAGATTTAATATGTCTAATTTTATTGTAAAAATGATTTTGAAGTGTTTACCTTGTAAAGTATGAAACCCTAAATGCAGAGAATTAAGATGTTAATGACTTTTTCCTGTCCATTCTTTGTTGTGTACTATAAACTTTACACCAAGTAGCTACAGTATTTCCAAAAAGTTAAGCCTATTTCAGGTAAATAAGTACATCTGTTTTATTACCTTCTAAAACCAAGTATTGATGGTCTTCCAATTTTGCAATATTTAGAGAATATTCTTCATAGCACATACATTTCCAGGTTTAGAATATGAAAAACTTTTGTGCTAATAAGCAGATCCCACTGAGCTAGGTTATAAAGGGGGAAAGTTAGACTATCAAGGAAAAACAGCACTGAAAAGAAATAGATTCTGAATTCTTTAGTTTGTACCTCATTTCATATTACATTATATACACTGTTTAGCTTAGTGCTTCACCTGTTTAAACTTCCTAAGTTTTTATTTATTCCCACTTTCTTTTTCTATGTTAACATTAGCTTGTATTTATTTATTTGGATATTCCTTCTATTTATTCTTCTATGAATAGTTTTCCTTTTTGTTCTTTCTCCTCCCTCCCCCCCTTGCTTTTCTCCTTTCTAAGCCATTTGCAGTCACCAATCTTGTTCATAGAAGGGCTTTAAACACGGAGGCAGCTGCACAGAGAATCACATAAGCTTTTTCAGTTTTCCACTGCACCTGGCTCCATGTGTGAAATTCTTCGGCTTGACCACTGCTCTGTGGCACTTACTTTCTATAGCCTTGTCAAGGTGCTTTCCGTTTTTTTCAGTGCAGTATTGATGTATTGGTTAGATATGGCAGAAGTCCAAGGAGATGTGGTAAACGCTTACATAAACCATCACAAGGGGAGAAACTGATTAATCACAGCTTAAATAGCAAAAAAAAAAAAAAAAAGATAAAAAAAACAATAAAATGAATTTAAAACCAATATATTTTCAATTTTATAATACCATTAGATTAAAAGATAGAACTTTTGTCTAATTTAAATACTGATACAACATTTTTAGTTGTATATTCTTAAACATTTTAATATTATTGGAGGTAGATCTAAGGCAATCTATTTAATTGTGAGAAATTTTTTTCCATTTATTAAATACTTACCATGTACATACTAGGATTAATTATGAGTTTATTTTTAATAATTGTGCCTTCTTGAAATATGTATTGAAGAAGAAAACACTAGTAAGTGATGATTCAGTTAATGTTACTTGTTATATTTACCTGAAAATTTTCAAATTTCTCTTCTTGTAAATTTTTCTTTTAGCTATAAAGGGAACTTAGCTTCTAAATGTGTCAATTTCTTACCTAATTATCATGAGATTTATACATGACACATGGTCAAAACTTGGCTATAAATTTAAAAAATTAAGTGATTCGTATTATTGGTATTTTCATACTAGTAGATAAAAGTATATCATGAAATGCATTAAGCCACTGCACTACTACAATGTCAATAAGAGAATTCTTGGTTTGTCATAAAATACAAATTCCCCTTTCCTGACTCCAATAAGAATTTAGATAATGGCAATTAGTTTCTGGCTTTATAAATAAAGTGAATTCATACCATTGCCTGAATAAGCAAAAACTTTCTGTTAAGGTTTCTGGTGAAAATGTGAGCTACAACTTGATAATGAGGAGACATTTACAATTGGAAAAAATATAAGACCAATGTTAAGAGAAAACAGAGAAAAATATAAACTTTTTGCAAGATAAGTAAGGAGAAAATTTTGATGTGCATGTTCTGATTTCTTTCATGGGTGAATTATGTTGTTAAATCTCTGCTCTCAAATCAAATTTTTCTAAAACTTATAGCAATTTTTATGGTTAGAGTTAATATCTGTAATTTCTCCAGTGTTAAATAATTAAAGGAAGACTTGAAATTTCCTCCAAAACTTGAGTGTTGATTTTTTAAATTATTTATCATATTTGGGGAAAAAACCCCACATATTTTCTGAAGGCTTGGTACGTGAGAGAGAAATGAGCATGTAATTTTATAGTATTACATTCATCAGAAAACAGCACAAATTGAATACAGATACCTTTTTGGAATCAGTTTGTTCTCAGTGGTAATATCACTGCCTCTGACTGTAAGGGATCAAGTTACTTGCTAGTTAAAAAAGATGTATTTTAAAATTTGTCTGAATATATCTTTGCATAACAGGCAGTCTATTACTTCAGCTGTCATGCCTTGCAGAACAGACATTCCTGAGAAGTGGAAAAAAATAAATAAATAGGATAAGAAATTGTAAATAAAATATGTATGTTGAAATGCTTCTTAGGAATTACCAGAACTTCAAAACTCAGGCTTGGCCTGTATTTGTCTGCTATACAAATCCCACAGGTTCTAAAGTAAGGGCATGTGAACAAGAAGAAAAAAAAAAAAAGAAGTTAAACTTATTTTCTCTTGGGACTTCAGTTTGAGCTGTTAAAATATTCTGAAAGCAATGTGAAAGGTATGCATTTTTAAATGTCCCATGTACTGAAATAACTGACATTCCTGTCCTTTGTGCAGTCATTTACCACCACAAAACTTAAATATACCTCTGCTTATCTGGTTATTAAAATAATATATTTAGGGCTTCCCTGGTGGCACAGTGGTTGAGAGTCCGCCTGCCGATGCAGGGGACACGGGTTCGTGCCCTGGTCCAGGAGGATCCCACATGCCGCTGAGTGGCTGGTCCCATGAGCCACGGCCGCTAAGCCTGTGCGTCCAGAGCCTGTGCTCCGCAACGGGAGAGGCCACAACAGTGAGAGGCACGCGTACCGAAAAAAAAAAAAAAAAAATATATATATATATATATATATATATATTTAATGGGATTAGTGATATATGAAAAAAGATAAAATAATTTAAAAATAATTTTAGTCAATGGCTCCCTAAGGTGAGGACCAGTAAATGGGCAAGATGTATTTGGTTCTCAAACTATATATCTAAGACAAATGAAAAAAAACATTTTCAGTGAATGTTTCTAAAACTTATTTGAAATTGATTGATGTACTATTTATATGATTTTAAAAAATTGTTTCTGTGCCTGATATTTTCCTCATGAGAAATTAGTATACTTGTTTTATCAGTAAAACTGGTGAAACATCTACAGGCAGAATGTGTGCCATATTCCCTTTCCTTGTAGTTATATAAAGCTGTGTTATCACTATGGGGACCCCACTTCAAAAGGAGTAGCTCATAAATTTGTTAAGAACATTATTTACAAGTGTTCCCCTTTCAGGCAAGTAACAGTGTTCTTCCAACAGAAAACTTTATCATATTCCTCACTTTTCTTGTTATGCACATGATACGTTTTGTTTTACAGGTTCTCAATTCATGAGAACTTTACTTCATCATCTAAGGGAATTTTAACTAGCCTCTAATAAGTCAAAGAGGCAGAAAAACATATACTTCGAGAGAAGAAAATGGGCACAACTGAATATAAACTACCCATAAAAACAAATTCTACTAAAAGTACCCTCTAACATAGGCAAACATCTTAATGATAATGTTGAGAGACTAGATTATTAAAATTTTTCTCTGTGATTATCATTTTCAAAATTATAAGAATACTTGGGTACAGTGCTCAAACAGATGTGAAAGATTGTTAATGGTCTCATGAGATATATTTGAAAGGGTTTGATCAGTTATGTGATGAAAAACTGTATTAATATCAAATTTTACATTAGTACCCATCTTTATCAGGATCCAATAAAACAATTCTGTCTTAAAATTTGAATTTTTTCCATCAACGTAAAATTTAATGACATGAATATATTTTTAAAATATATAATTGCTCATAATTTACTATTAATGGTAGTTCCACCTATCAAAAAGGCCTTTTATTCGTTATCACACTATAAATAGGGAGCATTTAGAGTACAGTGCCTCAAAAAGAGATGTCTCTGGTTCTCTAACTTCTACCTAGCTCGTATGTCAGTGTGCATCAGGGATATTCTCCTTCCCTTCCTCTTTTTTTTTTTAAATACCTATCTCCTTACAGGCATAGGATAACTGAACTTCCCTGGTGTCTACAGAAAAATTGACATGTTTTACATGCTGTTCTTAGTCTGATTCCTTATCTTGGCTTCAGCTCATGTTTACGTTCCTCAACAGTTTACTGATCAGTAATTTACTTCCAGGCTTATGCATCAATTATCAATGGAATGTTAGACTTGAAGTCAGACTTAGCATTATACATAGTTTAATTTAAAATAAAAAAGTCATTATAAAGTGAGATTAATATATGATAAGAAGCTTGGTGTTATTTCTTAAAACATAATACATGTAATTAGCTGTTCTTAACTCCAAAATACTTGAGGATAATCTGGAGGGTTAATAATTGTGAAAAATTGATTTCTTTATATGATATAGAGAGATGTTAAAATATATACACAAAAAAGTAAATTAGTACTAGTAGAATACCGTTAGGAATTTGCAAACTAAAACTTGTTCAAGAGCTCAAATCACTCATAACATTTAAAGAAAAAAAATCAAGTGTGTTCATGACATAAATATTACTCTGTTGGTCAAAAAAATAATCCCTACTTTTTCCACACCAGGCATTTCATGCATTTGAGACTTTCTGACGTACGGACTAATCACACTTTGGTTATTTCAAATTGATCCTGTTTTTAAACATATTTAATAAATGCGTTGCTCTGTTTAGAAACACGTTAAAATGTGATTTTGTTTATGTACTTATTTTTTCACCTACTGCTAGTTATCAAAATGAATAACAAATGGTATTCTATAGTGCCCCCAAATTGTTATGTTTTCTTAAGAAAGTGAGTGAGATTTCTTGAGTCATAAATAACGTGTTTAATATTCTTGTCAATCTATGGGAGACAATGAAACTTGAAGATGTCGTTTGAAATCTTAGTATTCTATCTAGGATTAGTAAGCAAACAGCTCTGTGTTGTCTAGGACAAGTGTTTTCCAATATAGAACAAGTAATAAAGTATTTGTCAATAGCATCTGCAGCTGACTCACATTGCACTTGTTACCTTGGTTTCACTAATTACAGTCATTTGTTCTGGGCTTGTCTAAGGTGGTAAATGATAAGTGGTTTGTAGTATTATGGACTACGAGAGTGTCACTGAAAAATAACTTTTAGGAAGTCATTTTCTAGGAACCTAAGAAAGCATGCTCTTGGCCGCTCACGTAATCTTATTTTATTCTTGTTATTTACTGATGTATCAGTATGTATGCCATGTTTCTGTTGAATTTCACTTTTTATTTCATGTCCAGATTTTATAATCTAAATGTCATCACTAGTACTTCCCATATTTCTTCCCTTTTTGTCTCTAAGAAAAAAAATATCAGATGACTTAACATCATTAGAGATTATGGATAACGAAGGTTTTCCACTTCGGTTTTTTCTCTGTTATGAACTTCACGAGAGATTTTTTAAAATATTCATTCTCACTATTTTCTAGTTATTTAAATAATTTAGAGCCAACATTTCCCCCCCCCCCGATATCCTGAGTAGTTTAGAAACATCTATCTCAGAGGCCTCTTTGCCAAGAGTCTTACCCTTTATAAAATAATGTAAAGCGATTTTTGGCTCCTTTCAGGTTAAAACAAGAAAAATTAGTCAAGATACCTTCACCCATTGCTCTTTATGCTGCCTGTAACTTTTCACTTCTAAGTAGCTGGTCATGTTGGTGAAGGCTCCCTCATAGCTTCTGTGTTTTCTGCTCGCAGGTATGGATCTCTTCTCCAACTGCACCGAGGAATGTAAAGCCCTGGGCCACTCAGATCGGTGCTGGATGCCTTCATTTGTCCCTTCTGATGGACGCCAGGCTGCTGATTATCGTAGCAATCTGCATGTTCCTGGCATGGACTCTGTTCCAGACACTGAGGTGTTTGAAACTCCAGAAGCCCAGCCTGGGTTGGAGAGGTCCTTCTCCACCTTCGGCAAAGAGAAGGCCCTTCACAGCACCCTGGAGAGGAAAGAGCTGGATGGACTGCTGTCTAATACACGAGCGCCTTACAAACCACCATATTTGAGTAAGTATTCCGTAAAAGGCTGTAGCAAAGTATTCCCTTTCAGGAAATAAAGTTCAACATGCCATTCTTCTTAGTAAAAATAGAGTTCAGGTTGTTTTCAGAAACAAGGATAAAAGTGACTCTTGGATGCAGACAGCACTTTACAATCGAAAAATGGATATACTTAACAAGAAGACAAATTCCTGGGTTAGGACATGGTGGTTGGCTACAATCAAGGATAATTTTTGATGTTGTTGAAAACATTTTTCAAATGATCTTCCTATTTCCTTTGAATACTGCTCACCTGCTGACTTGATTTCCATGTGTTTTGAAGGGCTTAAGGTGGAAAAACATCTCTTCACAGTTAAGTCACTGAGAGATCTCGTTTTCTTATTGCTTACCAGCATTATCACTTAATCATCCTTTTCCCACAATGACATTAAACACAAGCTAAATTCAGAAATCATTGCAGCCATCAGTTTGATCATTCTACGTGATTTAGTAATATGTTGGCATGGATACACGTTGCTTATCCGAATCAGAGGAACTACACGATGAAAGCATATCAACACAGCAATATTATTCATTTATTTAAAATAGTAGCTTCTTCTAACATTGAGACATTGATAATTGTAGTCAGCTCTTTCGATCTTGGGACCATAGTCTCGAAGTGGATAACCTTATACAACCACTCTGAAAAACAACAATGCTTTGAGATTCTTTAGCATATATTTATTAAAGTAGCCTAAAAATCAAATTTTAATAAATAAGGACTATGGTTCAGTCTTTGTCCCTCAAACTAAATTCTGGATTTAAAATTTTATTCATTCTTTCTGGATTTAAAGTTTTACTTATTATCAAAAACCAAGCTTTTCCAAATTTTACACAACATATTCTCAGTAGTGTTTCACTTAAAGTAATAATATACATTATAGAAGTACATTATCAATAATTACAAGGTAAAAATTCAAAGGGCATATGATTCAGAGTAATTCAAATTTGTATTTCTAAATAAATACAAATATTTCCTGTTAGCATATATTAACCGGTAAATCTACATCAAATATAGTGAAAAATCAGTTCAACCTCTAACTCTTAGTGAGTACCAACCTTGAGGAAATTTCACTTACATTACAGAACTGAAATTTTGAACATCTACAAATGTCTTTTCTCTACTGACTAGTTTTTCTGTTTAATTTTAAGAATCATGGTAACAATTTTTGTTGATAAAAATATTAATGCTACATATATTTTAACGCAAATTTCTCTACGTTTTAATAATCTAGTATTTCATTTAGATCCCTGATTTCAGGGATTATAAAATGTGTTATCAGATATATGTGCTGCTAGAAATCAAAGAATGCATCTATTATTTTACCAAGAAAATTAAGATTTGTTTGCATATTATTCCCGATGTGTATTATAATTAATTAATTTTGAATAACAATTTCCGTCTTCTGTTTTAGCCAGCTCAGCTCATACTGCTCAAAATTTAGGGTTTGGGATAAAGTGTGGACGGGATGAAAAAGAAGCAGAAAAATAGCATTTTGTTGTTTTTATTTATACTCTCCTCAGTTCTTCATATAACTTTAATCATGTCTGAATTTTTTTTTAACTTCTAGTGTTTAATGTCATCTTAGTCTCACACAGTTATCTTTAAAATTACTTCCTAGCTCTGATTTAATAGGCATAGTCAATTTTATGGTTAATCTAACTGTATAAGCTAAACCAAAACCCTCCATTCCTGACAATTTTGCCCCCCAAATTCACATGGTGGTAGTTGTTAATACGTGTATCATTTATCATCAGGAATGGAAATATTCTCATCTTCTAAATTGAAAAGCACGTCCCTTATGTAATTAAAGAAGCTAAAAATTAGCACTAATTACCTTTATTTAAAATCAGAATGTTTAAATAATTATTGAGGAAGCAGTTTTTCTTTTGCTAAACATGCATTTTGTTTTTTAATGAACATAATGAACATTTTGATGTTAAGAAAAGTAACTGTATATTTAGTTATTTTTGTAAAGCCCTAACAAAAGCCTAATCAGGCTACCACTGTCATTTATAAAATGATGACAGGGAAATGGTGATACGCTTAATAATACAAATGAGATCATTGTCTACACCCAAGAACTTTCCATTTCTACACCTCTGATTGCTAAAGTTAAACTTAAAAATTGTAAGAAAACAACTTTTACACAAAAGTGCATGTATGCACATTAAAAACAATGTACTTTGTGTTTCTAAAAAAATACCTATATACAATTATATTTCTTCTTTTTTTAATGTATAAGAAAAGATCCATGAAGACTATACATAATGCATTTAATGAAATGGAACTTATTTTTTTAATCAGGAGAAATTTTCAGCATATCTCTTAAACCTTGTCTCATTAGTCATGAGCTCTTTACAAGCATGCCTCCTCTTATTTTTGTCATAATGTTGTATATTGCTAATACTCTGATAAGGACCAAAGGGATACACTGAAAGATGGAGGAAATAAATTTAAACATGGTCATATTGTCAAAATATAGTGTTTAGATTTATCTTAAAATGTTAATAAATTTTAGCTTAGCTTTAATTTTTATTAAAGTAATAAAAAATATGAAAATACTTTGTCTTAATAAAAATCAATAATTGTTTTCAACACTTATTAAAATGAAATAAAAATATTCTCTGGAGTTTAAAACTAGTTATATTTTTCATACAGGATTCAAGAATTTCTTTAAAATTACTGACATGTTATTTAAAATTGCTGAGTCTTTCAACTGACACAGTAAGTTATACATAAAACATCTAGATAGTCTGAAAAAATAAAGATCATAAAAATAATTCAAGTTCAAGAATATAACTGGTAAAAGTTATAGCATTAATGTAATTTAGAAAAGCCCAAAAGTTAAAACAGCATGTTTAATATTATTTTTGTAATCATTCTTGCTTATGATTTTGGTTTCACATTTTGAACATTATCTCTTCAGATTATTTTTGTCTGGAAACAAGCATATCTTTCAGTTTAAATCCGCCTAAACAATACAGTACTAAAGGTATGAGGATTTGTTATTTGGAAACCTGTTGATTTCTTGTCAAAAACTTAGTCATTCCCTAAGAATTGAAAACAATCATAAGATAAATGGCCAATGAAATTTCATCTAAAATGTATGTGTGAAATCTTTCTTTCATTTGTTTAAAGGGTCATACAATAATAAATTATATTGAATAAAGTGAAAAAAACCTACATGGACATCATGATTTTTAAATCCTAAATCCATGAAATTTTCTACAATCATAGGACTGTAGGAAACCATTTATTGAAAAGTGTTACAATTGATTCTGCTTTCATAGCATACAACATTTAGACTAGTCCAGGTGTGTCAAAAAAGCAGCTGTCTCGTGACCTCACTTTGTTTTTGCCTACTTTTGAGCCCTTTTGAAATTTCAACCCAACTCATACATATCATAACGTAAGAAAAGATGTCAGAACTTTGAAACGTTGCATTTAAAATGCTGCTGACACTTTGACTTCTTTTCAGTAACCCTCATTTTAGGAACATTCTTTTTGGCATCTATATTATTTCTACCTAACACTTCAAGTTTTTACTTTTTTGAAGTCGTAGAGTGTGTTTTGTTGAGTCACACGTCTTCCAATTCCTTCATTATCTTAGTCGGCCCTCTAAGTTTTCATAATTTGTTGAAGTCAAACGAATTATGAGATATATATAGGAGCATATACAGTATTCAAAATAAAATGACTTTTCTTACTGGTACAGATTACCCTCATACTTATGTACCCCTGTGTAGTGTTTTCTCCGGAATTCGTATATTCCTCTAATGTCATAAGCATAGCATCACTTTATCAAATATTAAATTCCACAGAAAGTATTTTTATAGGTGGCCTTTTGACATTTTTGTCTGTTAGGTCCATATGTTACTAAATGAATGGACATCTTTTTCAGTAATTTTTCCTTTTTTAATAGATATGTTTGTTTCTGTTCACTTTTTCTCCAAGTTGTGCTACTTTTTTTTTTTAAATAATATCCTATTTCTGAGATTTTTGTTCTCTCACTTGTCTTTATAAGAATACCTCTAGATTTGTGAGTCTAACTAATTTTCTTACTTTTTTAGTTTATCTCTTTGTGACAAATCTCTGGTTTTTGAATCACACCAGTATTTCTATTTTTCCATTAAATTCTTTTATTCTGTAATTATGAATTAATCTCTCATAATCAAAATAGTTTACTCACATCAACTCTGTGAGCAAGAAACAAATGACAACTCAGGATCAGAAAAAACCTGACCCCAGTTCATATTCTCCATATATCTACTGTTAGAATTAAATGTTCACTGAATTTTACAATATTTCACTTCTTTGAAAAATGGTAATCTATTCACAATTTATGGGATTACTCCAGTTAAATGGTGCAGCAGCTGACTGGAACCTTTGTATACTCTAGATAAATGAGATATCATAAGACTATCTTGTTTCTTCTCCTTTAGTTGTTGAGCAATGGTCTGCCTCAACTAATAGGATTTAAATGAAAGCTATAAAAGTCTTTCTGAGGTGCAGATATGAAACAGAACTGTTCATTTTACATCTATACATCTGGCAATTTCTGTAGGCAATTTGTGTTTTACTTATTCAGACAGCAGTGCTTCTCTGTGACTTATCACATATCATTTAAAATGTGTGCCTTTGGGTGCATTGAAACTAGTTAATATCCAATACTCCCTTGGCATATTTAGACTCATTACCCAGCCATGCATATTATAAACGCAAAATAATTATGTGATAAGAAATGAATTAATGGACGAATGAGTGTTTTTAAAGCACCCAAACTTTCTTTAATACTGTCATCATACTTTACTTTACACACACATCTACACACAGCTTTTGATATCTCTAGGCAAACTCTCTTCTTTTCTTCCAATTAAAAAAACATGTTTTAAATTAGTTGTATTTCTCTCTAGATAGTACCTACAAGATTTTATGAGGGAAGATAGATATTGAACTCATTCAAAAT